TTGTAACGCCACACTCACAAGTAACTAAGATGAGTCAAAAAGCCCAAAGAATTAGGAATTTCCCCAACAAGCTGGTTACCAGAAAGGTCGAGGGTTTGAAGCTCTACCAGCTTTCCTATCTCAGTCGGGATGGGACCAGATAACTTGTTGTTCTGCAATAACCTAAAACCATACAATGGAAAAACTCAGTGACAAGAAAAGCTGGATAATGGGAATGAATGTCAATTTTATATTTTGGCTATTGAAATTTTTTGACAATACAATGGAAAAACTGACAATGTTCGGAGGTGGCTCAAGTTTCCAATTCCTGAGGAAATCGATCCAGATAACCCTGCACTGGCCATTTCCCTGCCAACACCATCAAATTACCACCAATTATCAATATCCTTATAGGATGAGAGAGAAATGCCACAAATATCAGAATTGATGGCATCAATGTAAAATCAGTTAAATAATTCACAAACAAAAAAAGAAGAAAAAAAAAAAGTGATAGAAATTGGCATGAAAAACACTTACAGGGAAATTACATAACCCTCGGGAGAGCAAGCAACCATGTTCCAAGTACAAGGGTCAACCGAATTAATATCCCAAGCATCCAAGACATGCAAGTCATCATTCATCTTACTCTTCATGGACATCAAAGCAGCCACTAATAACAAGAAAACAATCTCTCACTTAAACAAAGCTAGAAAGATGAGAAGCGAGAAATGGGGGAAATGGCAAACCTTCATAGTTGACACCCTTTGGAGAGAGAAGACTATCAGTGGCCTCAACGAGAAGCAGCCAATAACACATAAACAATGAAACGAGGCAAGCAACCACTTTGACATCGTCCATGAAACGAAAAAACCGATTCAAGTAGCGGGGAGCAACAAAGGTTGGAACTTTTCCAGTGGGATGTTCGGTTCTGAGGTTCAGGAAAAGCATCAAAAGAGGCAAAGGAAGTTGAAGTGAAATGAAGGAAGAATGAGGATGGAAGAGAAGTCGAGATTTGGGAAGATGACAGTGACTGTCGCATGGTCTGTGAGGTATGACAACAGTGTTTAGCTTCATGGCAATGATCCTGTGCGGATAGTCACGTGAATTTCATGATCTGACACCATGCGTTGACCCATGAGTTCGTTGGATTTTTCGATTTGGTTGGTGATGCTGAATCAACGGTGCAGATGATTAAGCTAGTGGGCGCGAAATTTGATACTTGGGTCATGGGTCGTAGACGCTAGTTTTATATTATACTATTTTCACAATTTACAAATGCCATGTCTCGGAGCTCAAGGACCTCCTCTACATTCTACAAATGCTTTGACTCTCTCTATCCAATGCCAATATTATCACTTACTACTTTTTAATTATTTATCATCAAAATCAATAATATTTTTTAAAATTATTTATTTTATTAAATAAATAATTAACATGACATTATTAAAAAATATGATTAATTATTAATATATAAAAAATTATATTAATAAAATATAATTGATTAACTCTTAAAATATTGCTTCCTAGCTAACTCAATTTCATTACCACTTATGATACTACATGTAGCTCTGTTTATAATCATATTATACTACTATATGAGATCAACAATTAAGAATGCCATAAATGATTTATATAGGAACCGATTAATAGAAATGTTCTGACTTATTAGTATTTATTTTGTGCTTCCAACCTATTAGTATAGATGTTCATTACCTAATTAAATTTAATTAAAAAAATTAATTAGATTGAATTGAATTTAAAAATTAATTCAGTTCGGTATAAAAATTTATACACTCATAATTTTAAGGGTTATCAATTGTATTCATGCATGAATAACAAGTAAAACTTTTTTTTTGTCACAGTTATCCTCGATTTATTGGGACAAAGACTAGTGATGCTTGTAGTATTATGTAAAATTTTAAGTTAAAAATTGACAAAATTAGAAACTAAAAAACATTTAATCCTTAAATATTTAACAAAATACCCTATATTTTATTTTCTGTGTTTAATATGAAAAAAAGTAATTTAAAATACAATCACTTTAACTCCTTTTAGTAAACAAATTATCTTTTTTTTAAAAGCATTTGGTTCAATTTATTAACTTTTATTATTTGGAATAGCCTTTTTTTGAATTATAATAACGGGATTGATATTTTTGAGTATTTAAAAAAAAATACTTAGTAATATAAATGTTTTTATGAAAGTGGGATGTGGAGGAAATTAAAAGGAAAAATGATTTTTTTTTACATTTATAATTTTATTTCCATATTATGTGAATCGACTTATTAATATTTTTCTTGAAAATAAAAACATAAGAATATAAAAGTTATTTTCTTTTCTTCCAAAATAATGTTCGTTGTTCAAGAATAAAATTTTTAATTTTATAACAAAAATGAAAAAAACACAATATCTATTTATATATTCCCGAAAATATGATAAAATAACTTCAAAGAAACATACTCTTCAAGTTTTTTTTATCCAAACCCATACTTAGCAAAATTATTTTGGAATTTATCTTTTTTATAAGTCATTAACTATTTTTTTTTAATATTATTTTAACAAATTAATAATTTTGAAAAATTAATGTTCTAAAATAATTGTGAAAATTAATGACCAACAAATATTGAACCTTACACCGGAATATGCAATTCAAAATTTCAACAATTTGAGGAAACTTCCCTTTAATGCAGCAACAATACTATGTGTATATCATTTAACCCTTAACAATTTTTTCTTCACCAAAAGAAAAACCTTTAACAAATTTTAAGAAGCCTTATTTGTTTTTTAATCTATAGTCCATGATGTATTATGTATGAGTTTGTAGTCTACTGCAGTTTTTTTCTTTTTTCTTTTTTAACTTTTAACTCTCTACTTCTCTTCTTTATTGTTTTTTGACCAGTGTAAAGGTGGACTTTTATGGATGCCCAAGGATTGGTATCCATGTCCAAATAAATGGATTAGATTTAAAATTCATACATATAATTTTCAGAAACAAGTAATTTAGATTTTTTTGAAACTAGTTTAAAACTAAAGTACTGAATAGCGTTTGTTTTTCCGACTGTAAATATTGGAAAGGAGAACTTTATTACACCAAGTTATTTTTTGCTTACTGCATGAGTGCATGTTATTACTTTTTTTTAAAAATACTTTTTTCTCATTTTGTGTGTGTGTGTGTTATATTAAAAAGAAGGGTGATATATATACACCTCCTATTTTTTATAAATACATTTTTAATTTTTTTTTTTTTAAATAAAGTTCCTAAAATATCTTTTTAACTAAATATGATTATGTTGATAAAAACGTTAATTTTAGCATTCTGGAAAATATTCTCCGGAATAGTAAAATTATTGTTCCGGAAAGTATTTTCTGGAAGTGTGTTTCTTATATAATTCCGGAAAGTTCTTTCCGGAACATTAAATTTAGTATTTCGGAAAATATTTTCCGGAATTATGTAACAAGCACACTTCCGGAAAATACTTTCCAGAATAAAAAATTTACTATTCCTAAATATACTTTTCGGAACAAAAGCTTTATTATTCAGGAAAACACTTTCTGGAACAAATAGTAAGAAGAATTACTTGAAAAAAAATGCATATGATTTGACACCTTTCCCTTCGATATTGAACTCGCTTACAACTTATAACAAAACTAAAAAGGGAAGAGGGTAATGTAGAAATTGAAAAGGGAGGAAGGGGAGGTATGGAGGTGCGGAGAAAAAAGTAAAAAAAAAACAGGGTGCATAAAGAATAAAGAAAGAATTATGAGAATGGAGGTGTGAATCTGAAAAATTATAAGTTAAAAAAATAATAAATCTGGAAGTGTGCTTGTTACATAATTCCAGAAAATATTTTCCAGAATACTAAATTTAATGTTCCAAAAAAAACTTTCTGAAATTATATAAGAAACACACTTCCAGAAAATATTTTCCAGAATAATAATTTTACTATTCCGGAAAATACTTTCTGGAATGTTAAAATTAACGTTTCTATCAATATAATTATATTTAATTAGAAGGATATTTTAAAAATTTTATTTTAAAAAAAGAAATCGGAAGTGTATTTATAAAAAATAGGAGGTGTATATATCATCACACTAAAAAGAAATTGGACTGTTCTAAGTTTTAGTAAAGTGCAACGCAGTTTTTTTTTTTGGTAAAGCGCAACACAGTTCTGGGCTTATGCCCCGTTTCAAAAAAAAAAAAACACGTTGCATTTGTCTGGAAAAATTATGGTTCAAGACAAACTTAACAATTTATCATCCAAACTATTCTTATTAATTTGAAATAAAAGTTAATTACGGAGCAGCCGAATTAAAATAAATACGAAAGATTAAATCAGATATTTTTAAAATGCTACTACCAAACTTACTGCTAAAATGATTTGATTTATTTTTTAAATAAGGAAATAAGAATAGATTTATTTTTAATTTAATAAAGCGTGTTGTCACTTGTCAGACAACTGTAGAAGAATTTTTTTTTGGTAATATTTTACAAAGTTTAAAATGTGTCTTGCTTTGTTTGATTAATTATAATTGATTAAAAAAATACTAGATATTCGAAGATCAAGCTCTTCACAGTTGTAAAAAATCGCTAGCACATTCTATAAGTTCAATTTTAAGACATTCTTTGCTATTATTTATAATTTATTAAAATTATAAAATTTTGTGAGTCTAATATCATATTCAATGAATTTGAATTAATTTTTAATCGATGATAAAGAAAAAGTGAAAAACAAATTAAATGATTCTGGATAAAGGGTAATGGTTTTGAATGGAACATGGATTGTGTAAAGACCCTCCACTCCAGATTAGACAAATAACGTAAACAAGCCATGTTTGTTGAAAGGAAAAAACAAATTCAGAATAGAAATAAGAAAAGTTGATGAAATGTTTGTTGTTGCTGCTTTGCTTGTCAAAGATGGAATTGGAAAGCGAGGACGCTGAAACTGTTGTGTTTGGTGGGAAGTTGTTGTTCCACATATATGCTCATAACTCATTCTTATTCCATAAGGTAACTTCTCAATGCATAGTTCAGTTTTCTTCTTTCGCTTCGATTTCACTCATTCATCCACATCACATGTATATCTCCATCACCTACTTCTTCGCTTCACTTGGAAACATACCAGAAAGCTCCACTCTTTTGTCTAACTCCTTATAGCCACCAACCTTCAATTCTAATGGCTTGATGGTTGTGGTTTAGTTTTGGAAGCCATAAGAGTCAGCAAGACCCTAGAAACATAGACTTTTTCAGGCTTCTGAGAGTTCCTTCTTCTTGTTATAGTGATCATTTTCTATCATTCATCATTTTCCATTGGTCATGTCATGTATTATTCATCTTTATTACATGGGAAAAAGATATGCATGAGGCCATTGTGAATAGTTAAACTTTTGAAAGTTCTAGCTGCTTTGATAGATAGTGGTGTAATGGGGAAACAAGGGTCTCATAAAAGTCCACGTCCTGAGTTCCAGGGTGCTAATGGTGTAGTCATGGGAATGAAAGATTACAAGATAACAAGCAGTGATCCTCCTTCTTGGAAGAGGATGACAGGGGGGGTTGATTGCCGTTGGCATTCCAAAACATTGTTACTTCATGGGCTGAAAACTGATTCTTCAAAATGCAACTCGTGTAGGGGACTCTATGTTGGGAAAAAGCACATCAGGGCCATTGTTGTCTTGTTTGGATTGTTGGCTTGTCTTTTCCTTCTTGACTCTCTTATCATTTCGTTTTTTGAGTTTACAAATCTTCAACCTGGTACAGCCTCAACTAATTCAACTATGTTTCAGGTACAGGTACATCATCTCTTGCCTGTCAGCACCCTCTTTGAAGTCATCTTCAAATCATTGTAGAGAATATCTATGTTATATTTATTCTATTAATCATATTCATGCCAAGGTGTAGCTATTAATTGTTGATTAGTATTTTAATCTTTATTATAGCAAAGGCTATAGTCCTTTTCTTGGTAAGCTTGTTTATTAAATCTAGATGTACCTTGATGACAATTTTGAGCATGTTCCATCTGAAATTAATATTTTATCTTCATGTGATTCAAAGTTTCCACAGAGTTTTCTGCATGAATGTACAGTTTTTATTTCTGCTAGTGGAAGCTGGAAACTATTTATCCACATGTTGAATGTGATGTTTTACTGAATATCTGAACATAGATTATTTTAAGCTAGGGGTGCATGTGTCAAAAGTCAGTAGAATTTGAGTTACCTAGTACATAAAATTTATGTGATATTTTGCGTTGATATTTGCTAATTGGCATAACATAACTAACATATATTTTAATGAAAAGGGTAGAGATTCCTACTTCTACAACAAACAATCACCAGTATATATGTATGGACGGCTTCAGAACTTGGCTTCCAGCGCTCTTGCAGAGGTTAGGATCAAATTTGCAGATTGATATTCATATTTTTAGAATTTAGATCATCTTTTAGTCCGTTAGATACTGTGTAGTGTGTACTAATTTAAAGTTCATTTTTGTCTAATCTGAGCTTTTATTATTACAGAAGGAGTTCAAGCAGGAGTCATCCAATTTATGGGTGGAACCATTTCGGCAGGCATCTTCATGGAAACCTTGTGCAGAAAACAAAGTTCAAACCAATCAGGGTATGTGAACTTTTCTTATGCATTGGCTGGTGTTAAAAAGCATGCACAAAATATATGCAATATGTATTTATTTCTTATACTATATATTAGTAACTTGAAGTTTAAATTGCAGCTGATTATGAGAAATTTATTTGCCTAATATCTTAGTTTACGATTAATCTGTGACAGGGAAGCCAGTGAAAAATAATGGCTACATCTTAGTCAGTGCCAATGGTGGTCTTAATCAACAACGAGTTGCTGTAAGTATTGGCCGTTAATTCATATCATTTCCAACATTCAAACACGAATATTGCACATTTTTAGAAGAATACAAATACAAGTAATCCTATAATCGTGGAATAGGAAAGGAAGAACTGGATCTTAATCAACAAAATTAAGTCTTGGACTGACACAATGCTCTGTTATTTAAGATAATGGATGTCAAGCACGTAATTAATTCTTATATCATATATGATCTTCCATCATTTCTTTTTGACATGCTTTTGGTATCTCCAATAATGGAAGTAATGAGACGACTGTAGTGATAACAGATATGCAATGCTGTTGCTGTGGCATCTCTCCTAAATGCAACACTAGTTATTCCAAAATTTCTTTACAGCAACGTATGGAAGGATCCAAGGTATGATGTGTTCAGTACTTAAGTAAAAATTGAACTTTTAACTTTGCGATTTGAATAGTTCAAGAATTACCTTAATTATCAAAATATCAAGTTGCAGTACTATTTGGTAACACATACCATTATACCTTCATTATGTGATTTCAATGAATGACTCCACAATTTATTAAAATATTTGATTAAAAAATGCAGCCAGTTTGGTGACATATACCAGGAGGAGTATTTCATGAATATCTTGAAGGATGATATCAGTATTGAGAAAGAACTTCCACCTCACATGAAATCTCTGGATGTAGAAGCAATTGGTAGCCAGGTTTATAACCTTACATCATCTTATGTACTCGAGAAGAGTTGTTGCACAAGTTATAACAACGTCAATAAACACCTTGCATTTTAGATTACAGATGCAGATCTTGCGAAGGAGGCCACACTTGCTGACTATATCAAAATTGCCCTTCCTCTTCTTTTGAGAAATAGAGTTGTTCACTTCCTAGGATATGGAAATCGACTTGGTTTTGATCCACTTCCCTCTGATATTCAGGTTATACATTTTTAACTTGGTTGTCTCAGTCTAGTTTAGGGTACTAATAAGGTTCAAGCTATCTAATCTCACCTTGCTTTTTATGTATGTTTGAAACAATTGCATTTGCAGAGGTTAAGATGCAAATGTAACTTCCATGCTTTGAAGTTCGTGCCAAAAATTCAACAAATTGGGTCGCTATTGATCCGAAGGATTAGAAAATATGGTGCTCGACGCAGCATGATAGACACTCAATTGCTGGGGAAGTTCGTCCACAACATGGAAGATCGTGAAGCTAAAAGGGGCTCAACAAAATATCTTGCTTTGCACTTGAGGTTTGAAATAGATATGGTGGCCTATTCCTTATGTGATTTTGGAGGTGGAGAAGAAGAGAGAAAGGAACTACAAGCCTATAGAGAACGTCATTTTCCTCTGTTTCTTGAGCGCTTGAAGAAGAATTCAACGTATGCATGTTTCTACTATATGCTTTTCTACATAATGTTTTTATTGGTAAATAAATATCCTTGTAGTTTGCTTAATATTTTTGTGGCACGTGCTTTTGATGTTTATAGCTCTATTTCTCCAATGGAATTGAGAAAATTGGGAAGATGTCCGTTGACACCAGAAGAAGCAGCACTTGTTCTAGCAGGCCTTGGTTTCAAACGCGAAACTTACATTTACTTGGCTGGTTCTCATATTTATGGAGGAAACTCAAGAATGGAACCTTTCACTAACCTGTATCCCAATGTGATCACAAAGGAAAACCTGCTTACACACAGTGAACTGGCACCTTTCAGGAATTTTTCTTCTCAGGTAATTTGTTATCAGTTCTATTTTGCGTTTCATTCTACTTTTTTTTAAAAAAAAAATTATCATTTAGATCTTCTCTATTTGTTTGCTATACCATATCAATTAATCAAAATAATATATAAATAAAAAAGATAATACTCATCTTATAGAATCGATTTTATGAGGTTAAATTAGACCAAAAACTCACATTTTAATATAACATTAGAGTTTATCCTAACATTTATTGTAGGGTCACCCATTATTGGGGCATTATCTCACCATCAGTAAACATTTAGCTTTGTAAATTTTATGTCCAAAATGTCTAGTTCAATTCTTAGCCTGATAAGAGTATTTTAGAAATCTCATGTCAACTAATAATATAATTAAAATTGTATATATAAATGAAAAATAATCATTACCTTATAAATTTCTTTTATAAGATCGAATTAGATCTAGATTTATATTATAAGATTTTTTAGTGGAGTTATGTTCTTCGCATTATTATGTTAGATTTTAATGAAGGACTATAAGTATACCCAAGTACATGTTAAGGTTCAGAATCAGATAGGCACTCCACTTGGCATATAATGAGGAGGCAAATTTTATTAGCAACAATTTTTATCTGTGATAATATTGTTAATGTAAACTAAATATTTTGACAATACTAAGTTGATGTTAATGCAGTTGGCTGCTTTGGATTTCATTGCATGTGCAAGTGCTGATGTATTTGCTATGACCGACTCTGGTAGCCAACTTTCATCATTGGTATCAGGATTCAGAACTTACTATGGTGGTGATCATGCACCTACATTGCGGCCAAACAAGACAAGGCTAGCTGCAATTTTGAGGGAGAATGACAGCATAAGATGGAACAGGTTTGAAGTGAGAGTAAAGAAGATGATTCTGGAAGGTCAGAAGGCTGGCATTAGGAGTTATGGCCGGAGCATTTATAGAAATCCAAGGTGCCCTGAGTGCATGTGCAAACACCATTAGCTACTAGTCCTTGCATTAGCAAACCAAAACACTTGTTAATATACAACACTTTTGAGATTGAATTTCTTTAGCAATTTTTCTTTTTCTGTATCATATTTTATTCAGAATCCTATATAAGAAAATAAAATTGTTTTTTCATTACAAAGAATGAATTCAATTTATCTAATTTGTGGTTAGTATTATTGTAATATATAATGTGTTTAAAAGAACATCAACAGTGAGAAAAATGTGAAATGCAAAATGTTATATCATCGTACGAAATGCAAAGAACAAAATGAATGAGAGAAAATGTGTGTCCGCTTTACAATGCTTTGGGTCAAGGTCTGTACGTGTTGGGCTTGGGTCATGTTGTGTATTATTAAGATTTGGGACTGTTTGTGCACCCTGATTTGGATTTTTTTTTTTAAGTTTTGGGTTGGTGTAACCAATAAGGTTAGATTCAATCGCATGCATACAATACCTTTCATAACAATATTAGAGTGACCGCCATGACTCAGATTTGTAACATATTTAGAAACAAATATATACAAAGCAACAGGGAAACGAGCTCCAAAACTGAAGCATTCCACATTAATGTATCGAATATGAGTGTATATAGCCCCAAAGAAATTTAGAAACATCCATATGCCTAATTATTAGTATATAATCTACTTATTACAAAAATAAGTTTAAATGGAGTTTGAATGAAGTCATTTCACTCAATAATTTATAATTATATTAAATTTTAATAATTTAATTATTAATTTAAAAAATTTATTAAATAAATCAAATTATAAATTTTTACAAAATTTGAGAGTTATAGAATATATC